GTTAGGTGCTCTAATTTTTCAAACATTTTCTCAAATGTATTTGATAATTTCTGTATTGCAAGCATTATCTCTTGCAAGCTGACAGTTTGTCTCTATTGTTGAAAATAAGCCATTGTTTCCAGCTGTTAAAACACTGCTGCTCTGACTTGGAAGATTTTTACAAGGTTACACTTAGGTTCACCATGAGATCTCTGGTTAAGAATATACTTCAAAGGAACATTTGTATAAACAAATACAATCACTTTCTTATCACTTTCTATAAATAAACTGTGAGACTTTAAAGTTCCAGACCAGAATAATTAGTAGTGAAAGTAAAAGTATTTTGTTTTCAGTATTCAAGTTTCCAGTCTTCGAGTAGCTTTAGTATAAACTTTAATATATGCTTCATCCATCTTCATTTGTATATGCCACTATTACATAGTGCATTTTATTGCTTCAAATTCCTAAACCAGTGAAGGAATATGATTTCAGGTAGTCCTTGCTTTAAAAACACAACTAGGACCAGCAACTTCATTGTAAGGATAATATCACATGATCACGAGAGACTTATAATATCTCTTCCACTACAGTAATTAAGCAAATCAATTGTCATCAAGAGAGATTTCACATGACAATGACTTGTGATTTTATTGCTGGTTTTTCCACTGATTTAGCTTGTCAGAAGCCAACTGTGAAACACACAAATTATAGTCATGTGACTGGGGGAAGTTACAATGATTATGAACAATCACCAGTTATGAATCATGTGAACTTGGGGATGCTACAACAGACATAACTGTGAGGACTGGTTATAAAGTTAATGCAACTGCAATTTTCAGAACCCAACAAAGCAATCATTAAGGGAGGCCTGTTGGTATATGGTTAAGAAAAATTATGTTGATTGTCATTTCTACCAGAAATTTTGCTAGAAATTCATTTTAGTAAAACTAGGTTTCTGTATATTCCTTAGGAGTCATTAGGAAAGATTGGATTGATCATTTCCAAAACCACATTGATTACTGGATGATCAATCTCCAAAACCATTCTAGTAGAATGACACATTTAGGCACCAACCCTTGGCCGTACCTCCTTTGCTCCCTGCTACCCACTTTAGCCAATTTACAGCCAGCTTTCCTCCTCCACTTGCCCTCCCTTGGCCATTCTACACGGCCAATGGGACCCACGCCCTCCACCCCTTGCCCTTTGCCAGCAGTCACAGCACTTTTAAAAAAAATCTTGCATTGCACTCTGCCCACCTCATAGCTTCTGCAATCGCCCTGCCCATTGCCAATTTCAGGCTGCCGACGCATTATCATTGCTTCTGTCTGCTACCCAGTTGGCTTGGGGCTATTTGTCCCATGCAGCAAAATGTCCAGATCAAACATTTTCTGGGTGAATGGGCATGAACAAAGGGCCAGGGGTGAAGAGTCAGTGGCCCATTGGCCATGGAGAATGACCAGAGGAGGGCCAGCAGAGGTGGATAGCTAGCTGTAAATCGGTTGACATGGGTGGCTGGAGGCAAATGGGGCACTGCCAAGGGCCATTGCCTAAATGTCCTAGACCCTCTTCTAGTTTGGAATAGGTTAGATTCTAAAATAAATGATGTCATGATGTCTATGAGAGTGGAATAAATAAATTATATCTAAATTTGCCAAGCAGAAATGATCCATTGATATGTAAACACAATTAACAGTATTAATTCTATGAGAATGAAGTCCTTGATGTTGATGTCCACAGAATTAAGGTCTGGAAATTATAACACTAAATCCCAATAAATGATTGAGATTTTAAAATGTTTTCGGCATGCTGCTATATACTAATAGAATCTATTCAGTATCGTAATTAAGGTGCTGAAGAACTAGAAATATGAGCTCAGGAATTCTATCCCCTTCCCACTTGCTTTAGGCATGAAATCCAGTCTGAAAGCCAATTATTTTCTCTCAGCCCAATCTGCTTTACAGGGTTATTGGAGAGAAAGGTAGGGAAACAGGATGATTTATGGACTTATATAAAATAAAGGCAGACTATAAATCTAATAAATACATAGAGCTCTCATGCTCTTTCAACTGTCCTGATCCAGAAAAAACACTCAAAATTAGTATCTTATCAGGAAGTATATCTCACGGGGAAAAACAGAATTGTTTGAAAAGCCCAAACAATTCTTTGCAATCTGATATCAGCCCCATATTTATTTTTTAATTAGAAAGCATGAAGATATCATTAAGCAAAACACATTTACAAATTATAAACCAAGCACCCGCTAACAGGTATATATCTAACTTAAAGGATAACTATTTTTTTTACATATTACTTTAATCTATAGCAATAGCCTATCCAGTTCCAATGTTGACCTACTCTGTATGAAACTATCACAAGCAAAGAGAAATATCAAGTGAAGTCACCACTGAATTGATGTTGCACCTTTCATCTGGTCCATATGAACCTGATCCTGCTTCAATGTTAATATTTTACATTTTAATTTCCTAGTGCAGTTCATTAATTTTCTTGTGTGTTACTGTACCATATTTTCATTCAACTTTGTATGCCACTTAATTTTATAATTAGATGGCCTTATAAATCAATAAACAAATAGTCTGAATCCTTTTCTTTTGTTTGGTCTATCAGACGTTACAGTGGTTTTGCCCAAACTGCTATTATATGCCATTTTAGTACTATCTCAAAAGCTAATGCTGCAATTCAACATTACTGATTACAGAGAAATCCATAATATTAATCTAGTAGTTAGTCAGCATTTTAAATAAATTCTTGAATACTAAATGAGAGAAAATAGAACCCGATGGAGACTAATAATCAAATTAATCACATCTGTAACATCTCTTTTGTTCTTCAAAAACTTAATATTTCTTTATTCCAGTATTTCTCCAAACAGCCAGAGATTTCTATATTATGTTATATATTTTATTGGTTTATCACCACAAAATGATAGGAAATTATGTTGTTAAATTTCAGCAATCATGCAAAAAACAGGATTTAAATGACGTTGCTCATTCAGTTTTGGATTTTCTAAATCCTATAGCTCCTTGAGAAAGAGTCCCTAACTTCATGATGGTGAATTTATTGTACACGTGCCACAGGCGGCATGTAGCTCCCTCTCTATGGGCACGTCATTGCCTTAGTTCAGTTACGCATGCCTCCTGCCAGCTATCTGATTATTGGGTCATTACAGTGCATGCGCGGGGCAGAGCGCATGTGGAGGAGATGCACATGAATTCATGGGAGGATGGGATGCATGTGTGGGTGCACACATGTGGTAGGTGCATGCAGGGGGTACACATGCATGCGCTGGTGTGGGGGCACACACAAGGGGCATGCAGGCCTGTGCAGGGGTGTGGCGCATGTGGAGAACTACACACATGTGTGTGGGGTTTGCAAGGGGCTGCAAGTGTACGTGCGGGAGTCGGGGGCACGCAGGGGAAAGTGTGTGTGTGGGGGCCAGGAGCATGCACAAGGCCATGCGTACAATTCATTTGGGGGGGTTGGGCACATGTGTGCACATTCACGCACTCACACATGCGCTTGGCCACTCACCCTGGAAAAGGTTAGCCATCACTGTCCTAGGTCATTACTTGTCCAGCATATGAAATACTTTTCAAGAGTATAGAGAATTCTAATTGATATTTTATATTTTCCTCTTTATTATGTTGATGTAAAGAATAAAGAACTATTTTTGAACAAACGTGTTACTTACTAACGTAAGATAACTCAGTTGTGCATATGTTTTGTTAATGAAACAAGGATCCATGGGATGAAAAGAAGAGATTTTGAAAATTGCCAGTTTTTCTTTAAATTGAAAAGGTTCTACCTACATAGGTGCACATCAGAATTGTTCTAAGTTCACAAAAAATCCTGAACAGAATTCATTTTAAATACAAAATCTAGCTTAGTATAAAAAACCCAAACTGCATAATGAAAAAGGCAATAACTTTCAGAGCCACTGTACTATAAGAAAAATTGTTTTAGAATTCATTCCTTCTAAATTGCATTATAAACAACTTAGAGACTGAGAGTAATATAGAAAGTTCAAATCTATAAAGAACTTGATAACTACTATTTTCAAATGAAATGAAAGTTGTTATTGCTGTATTTCCAAACAAAATAAAATAGCAAAACTTTATAAAATATCAAAATCTCCAACATAAAATATTAAATTCATACTATATATATTATAAAGTACACCAAAATCTAAAATGTTATGGAACTATACTTTTAATAAAAAATTAGTTGCAGAGTTAAATATTTTAAAATTTTAAGCCATTATCAAAATATTTTTAAACTTTTTTTAATTTGAGTGTAATATATTTAAGGAAAGTTGATTGATCTCAGAGTTAATCTTATACATAGAAAGCCTCTAAGTCTTTTAAATTATTGGGCATTTTTATATAAGCTTTTTTTAGAATCCTTATTTAAGCAACTGAAGAATATTGTTTAGGATTGACAACTTACAACTGTGAAATAAAAAGTTTTAATACAGTATGTTATCTAGATAAATTAATCAAAAAGAATTTTTATGTTGTCGGATATTCCAACAGTTTTTAAGAAATGTCATTTTTTAATATTTGAATGTAATAAATTTGAAGTAATTTTGTCCTTGTTTAGTTTAATATCTATATTTTATCATCATGAACTGAGAAGGGAATTTATATCTAAAGATATGAATGTATTCTTTAACTATAGTATTATTGAAAAATCTAAACTTGTCAATTTATGAAAAACTAACATTTTATTAAAATGTGCAGTTGGAAAAAAGATATAACCTCAGGAACAAAATTCTGGCTTAAAGAAATGTTCGTATTTTTTGTCTGTAAACGGACTCTTTTTTTAGAAATAATGGAAAGGTTGATCAACATGACCCTTGTAGGGTCAAAGTTTCATGTTGTTGTTGAAAATAGATATTATAGGAATTTAATTACATCTTTCAATCCAGTATTAAAATATATTTGATGGATCCTGATGAAAAAAAAAATTCAATAGTAAAAAGTGCTATTATTTTAGAAAGTAAGAACCATATATGTATACTGCAGAAATTAAATTATATATGATATTTCTTATTTTAATACATTATCAGAATTTAATATTTACCCCTTCAGGCGTCGCTTCTTCATTTCAGAAGAATCCTTAGTTTTTGACACATCTTTGGAATCAACCTTTGAAAAGAAATATAATCAATTTCTACATCTTTGCCTACAAGAAGTTTGGAAAATTTTCCTTTATCTTAATGTATCATATCTACTTATGAAATATCATCAATGTCTCATCTAAGTAAATATTCTAAGGTTATCTGATACCATTTGTTTGGAATGATTTAAATTCTTCTGCCTTGAAACAGAATCAGACTATAAGATCTCCAAGGTTTCTATAATAATATTATTTATGAACAAATTAATATAAAAAGCCTTTATTTGTATGCTGTTAAGAAGTAAGCTTTGTCCCCTATTTAATGTTCCAATGAATAGAACTAAGTAGTTTTATTTTCCAGATTCTTAGAAAATTCTTCAAACAGTCTTTTAAATGGTCAACCATCTATCTTTTCCCAATAATTAATTACCACATGTAATGTGGTAAGATATAGTAAGAACATAGAAATACTGGTATTTCACCACTTTTATCATCATAGTATAGACCCAAACATAAGCTATGACATAACTAGTCAGAAATGCTTCTTGCTCAGGAGCTTGCATTCACATGCATGGAGGGTGTGTGTGTGTGTGTGTGTGTATGCGTGTGCGTGTGCGGTATCCCCCTGTGGCCCATTTTTGATCTCAGGAGGCTTCAGAGAGGCCTGCTCTGCCCAAAACGGGAATGGGGTGGTGGTGTCATGTGCATTTGTAGGGGGAGGGGGAGTTCTGGGGCAGGTCATATGCACATGCACAGGGTGCGCAGTGCATTGAATTATGGGTGTGGGAACATGTGCATGCACTGTCAAGCATGCACACACATGATTTCTGCACCCAAGGAGGAAAAGGTTACCCATCACTACTATACCTATTGAATCAGAAAATCGAGATACCATTCAGGTGCAATTTCATATAAAGTCTTTGGCACTTTCACCTGAGTAAAACTGCCCACTGCTAATTGGGAAAACTCACAAGTACCCTTTGGGATTTAAGCAATTTTATTATATATTTGGAAAAAAAAAACATCTCCTTGTACACCAATAGCACAATTCATTAATCTGAAGAGTAGATTGTTAATAGATTGGTCTTATTCTCTGACTTATAAACTAAAGGAAGTTACCATCTAAGGCTTCTAAGCTATATCTTTTCACAGAAACATGGCCCCATTAGTTAACAGTTTCCTATATGATCTCTTGATTAACATGACATCATATACAAAAATTGAAGCTTTGTTTAAACATCCTCCTCTAAGATGGAATCCAAAGAATAGAAACCTAATGATTAATATGCCTTAAAGCAGAAATGCTGTTACCTAGTAGGGAGTTCTAAACAGGACAAGTTCCTTTTTTTTTTTTTTTGTAGAGATAGTCCTCACCCCATGACCATAATTGAGCCCAAATGATATTAAATGATATAGTGCTCAATTTTGGTAACCTTTCTTACCATAGTTGTTAAGTGAATCACCACAGTTAAGTTATTAACAAGTGAATCTGGCTTCCCCACTGATTATGCTTGTCAAAAGGTCATAAAAGGTGATCACAGGGAACTCCAACTGTCATAAATATGAACCAGTTGTCAAGTATCTTAACTTTGATCATGTAACCATGGGAGTGCTACAAGTTGTAAGTGTGAAAAATGGTCATAAGTCACTTTTTCAGTGCCCTTGTAACTTCAAACAGCCACCAAACAAATGGTTGTAAATAAGTCGAGAACTATCTGTATTTTGTTCCAGATTCATTTGGTGTAAACCATTACAGATCTCAATATGCCATTCACTCTCAAACTCAAACTTAGTTTGTTAATGCCTAACAATGTAATCAAAAATAGACTCCTTTCCTAGACTAAAAAAGCACAGTGACTACCTATTGCAAACACTATATAACTGACTTTTTGAAAGGTCATGCAACTATTTTTAAATAGGAGAAGATAAATAATGCAAATAATAATAATGCAGAAAAAAAGTATAACTACAGAAGATGATAAGAAGGAAAACTATAAAAGAAGATAAAGTTGTCTGTATTTTCCAAATAAATTTAGTCAGTGCAAAGGAATACTGAAAATAAAGAACTTGACTGAAGCATAAAAATCTATTATTTTGAGATTTCTGCTTCTTAAACATGAATGCCAATACAAATCATTACTATAAGAAAATTACACATCACTTCTTATGCATAGTAACACCTGGTTGTAATTACTGATACTTAATAGTAATGCTTACAGTAATGCTAGAAGAAGAAGATGTTAAGGAAACAATGATAGCATGGGCAAAAAAAAATTGGTTATATGATCGAGTTAGAAAAATGGCAACAACGATTGGAAAGGCATTATAAACTAACTATGTCAACAGCACATAAGGAAAACGTTTATAAAATGTTTTATAGTTGGCACACGCCACTCGAAAGATTAGCACAGATGTTTAAAGATAAATCAGCGAAATGTTGGAAATGTCAATAACTTCCGGGCTAGTACTATCACACATGGAGGACATATGCAGAAGCAAGGAATTATTGGATTAAAATAAGAACATGGTTAGAGAAAATGCTATATCAAAGTATAGAGCTAAGACCATAGACATTTTTACTGAGTATCTTACCAGAGAAATATAAACAAGAATGATATATATATGATTATACATATAACGACGACAGCAGAATTGTATTTGCACAAAATTGGAAAGTAGACAAGATCCCTTTGGAAGGAGAGATAATAAAAAAAATTGGACTGTGCAGAAATCAATAGGTTAACTCTGAGAATAAAGGATAAAGAGGAATCGGTGTACTTCAAGACGTGAAGATTTTAATGATTCTCTTTAGAGAAAGAATATGAATGTTAGAAAAGAAAGCAAGAGAGAGAAATAGAAACCCAGACAACACACTATTAAATGAAAAACAAGGGAAGAGGGGGGAATTAGAAAAGCAGTAAAGTACTAATACATAAATATACGTTCAAAGAATGAGACATAGGTAAAATAACAGTTTGGAAAATATAACGAGGAAAAGGGAATGTAAAATGGCAAACATAAAATTAGAACCGGGTTTGCTGGAATACCATCTGGAAAATATACCAGACGGAAGAGGAAAATAGGCAACCACAACAATAGAAGAGGAAAGGAAGAGAGGAAGAGGAGAGGAAAAGGAAGGAGAGGGAAAGAAGAAAGAGGAAAGGAGAGAAAATGGGGAGGGGTAGGAAGAAAAGAGAGGGTATGAAGGGAAAGAGGTAACGAGGAGTAGGGAAGAGGAAGGGGAAGGGGAAGAAGGAAAGGAAAAGGAGAGGAGGAGAAGAAAGTAGAGAAGGGAGGGAGGGAGAAAAGGAAAAGTAGAAAGTAGGGTGATGGTAAAACAAAATAGGAGTATGGGATGGTAAAAAAAAGCAATCACAATCATATATTTTAATTTTTTATATAGAAAAATAGTTAAAAGTGTTAAAATGTGATAAGAATAATAACTAAGAGAATGTATACCTGTAAATGTGTGCATGAGACTAAAAATAAAAATAAATAATAATAATGTTGTGTTCTTTATTAATATAAATAAAAGTTCATTTGACATAATTTCAGTACTGTAAAAACTATTTTATATGCTATTCATCCATTCAAAAATAACCGTAATAACAATAACAACAGCAATAACATTGCTTACCATCTCAGATTTTATTTTCTTAGATTCTTCCCTTTTTTTATCACTATCTTCAGGTTGGGAAGCCTGTTTTAAAACCTTTTCTGTAACACCAGCTGATCCTTTTGATTTAGAAAGTTCCTGACTTTTTCGTGGAAGCACTTCACTTGTTTTTCCCGTTTGTGATTTGGGGGTTGTTTTTTCTGTTCCACTAATAGGTACCTCTTTTAAATCATCTCCTTTAGCTTTTCCTTTTGATGTTTTCTTGCCTTTCTTTGGTACCGCTTCCACACCTGCTGATAAAGGGAACTGCCAGTCTGGAATAGTTGGAGGTATTTCAGCAAGTTGTATCTTTGCCATTTCAACTTCCTGTATTTTTGTAAAAAAAAAAAAAAGTTAAAATACCTAACAAATTCATCAGGTTTCATAATCTTTAAACTTGAAATTTTCAACGCAGCATCCCAAAAATGTGATGATAATGACAGACATATAATCCTCTCCTTGTGCTAAATCACAGTTCTAGGTCATCCAAATTGTAGGACAATGGTCACCCACTTATCTGATTTTCCTTTCACCACTGTCCACTGCAAGCAGGTAGGATTTAAATTGGTCATCCCTCAGTGATACATGAACCCTAATGGGTTTCAGAGGGAACTGGGGACTGTTCCTGTTGGTCTGCTGAATGGTGTGCCTGAAGCTTTGGTTGCCACTTGGAAGAAGAGGCTCACCAAGGTCTTATATCAGATCACACCTATGTGATTTTCTCCCTCTTCTAGCTCCCATCACTCCCTATCTTTCACAGAAGAACTAAGGGAGATGGAAAAGAAGAAATCTCTAAAAATCACCAGCATTGAAGGATGAACTCAATCTATTATGGATTAGAACCATTATGAATACCTAACAGCAGTAAGGACAAGGAAGGGACAATATTTCCTTGCCACTTATTACATCTGCAGATAATCATTTGTTGACCTTGATTTATGAGATGCATAACCTCTTGGATAAGGGAGATCCCCTTACAGGACTACATAGAATAATTTGCTCAGCATCTGTTAGACAGTTGCTCACATTAATTCTGAGTTGGACACTGGGTTTGTGAAGATCCTGGGCATACTTCCTGTTGTTTGGGAACAATTTGAACCACTTGGGCCGACTCTTTATGGCTATAAGCTCAGTCACTAATTCTTTGAACTCATACCCTTTCTGGATAACTAAAGCTATCTGACTCTGAAGAAGCTGCTCCAGCTGAAGCTGCTCCCAACCGTGGGAGAGAAACAAGCCAAGAATCACTTTGATGTTGATCAAACACAGGCACTATCAGAACAGCTGGAGCAAGCCAAAAACAGACCTTAGCCAATCCCTATACTGTGTCTTTGTAATCAATCGTAAGAATCAAGTCAGGCCATGAAATATCTAGGAAATAATCAGAGCAGAATTTCATGTACTTATTTGAATAAGTTTTCAAGTCACAATATAACTAGATATGCAAGAAATAAACATGAGAAAACATTTCTACCTAAAGGGATCAGAAAATTCTCCTCCAAAATACCTGTAAAGCTTTCTCTAGCTTCTCCTCAAGCATTTTCTTCTCTTCCTGAAGGGATTGAATGTCTTCCTACAATGTCAATATAAATTTACATTTACATTTAAATTTTTCATTTACATTCAGATGAAAATTTAAAGGTTTGCTTGCCTATTGTAAAGATGTACAAAAAGTCACACTCAGTTCACTCACTTTTCCTAATAAATCCCAGAGAATATAATTCAGTTGGTTACCAACCATTTATTGATTGCTGAATTTTTAAAATCATATTTATCTGGTATAACATTAGAAAAAGTTGACTGAATGAGTAAGCCCTCCTGGTGTGCTTTGAGCAATATAATACATAACCCAACTTTGTTAAACAATTTCTAGCAAAGATCTTGAATTTTGTGTCCATCTTTCTTATTCTGAATTCTTATACTTTTTCTTAAATGGCTTGGAAAATAATCTTATTAGTAGGAAAACAACAAAATAATTGTATAAAATTTAACATCATACTTTTATATATATTTTAAATGAGATGGTATATCTACAAAATATATTGACATATTTGTCCTTTACCTGAGCTTTATATAAATCTTCTTTCATTTGTGTAGGGTCTTTTTCCTTTGTTCTGTAATAAGAAAATATAACAAAATTAATGATTAGACCATCATAATATAGCAACTAGACTTCTGAAATATCAGAAGGAAATACTCACAAAGTAATTTCTCAATTTTTCCAGAAAGTACAAAAAGTTATATAGATATAAATTATGGTAATCTAGAATGTACCTTATATAGTTTGAATTTAGCCTGTCATTTGAAGCCAGACATTACAATCAATCATTACAGTTATGACTGATGCGATATGGCTCCGCAAATGTAAAAGTCAATCTGTGTATCAGTGACGTGCAGACAGGGAAGGCAGGGGAGGCAGGGCCTCACCACTGTCATCATGAAAAGAAAAAAAATGTAAAAGGAAAAAGGCTGAGGTAGTTGCTGCCAGAAGCACAGTGGATGACTCTGCTTAGTGCTTAACTGTTAAAAAAAGCCTCTAAAAAAGGCGGGGGAACCATATGCCTCCTTTAGTCTATCTTTATGATCACTCGAGCAGAGTTAAGCAAAGGTTAAAAGCCAAAAAATTCCTTATGTAGATGAGGCACTTGGTTCTCTTGCCTCCTCCTGTAGAGGGCGTTTTTTTAGACACTTTTTCAAACAGTTAAGCAGAATCATCCATTGGGGACTCTGGCAGCAGCTAGCCCAGCCTGACCTCAGCAGCTCTTGCCTTTTTCCTTTTACATTTTTTTTCTTTTCATGATGACAGTGGTGAGGCCCTGCCCCCCCT